AAAAATTAAACAAATAAAATTCAGAGAAATTCAACAGATAAAAATCAAAACTCTCAAAAAACAAAAAAACAACGTTTTTTTCAAAAGCGGAGAAAATTGTGTTGAATTTATAGTATAGGAATCCTCTGTTAACACTCATACACACCTTGAGCCTGCAGAACGCCCTGGACAGCACCCTCATGCGCGCCCGCTCCCGAGCGTTGGCGGCGTTCCGCTGCAGCGGCTGGTGCGGCGACCCCGTGCCGACGGGCGACCCATAGTCCTCCAGGTCGCCGTCGAGCGCGCCGTCGTCCATGCTATTGTCGTCGAGGTGGGCGCTGAGACTCAGCAGGCGTACTTTGGCTGCGGCGCCGTCCGCGCGCTTCCTCCGGGGCATCACGATGACCTGCAGCCAAAAGTCAGGCGTTAGGTTCGCACGTCAACACTGATTGAAACCGGCAGTGCCCAACCAGTAAAAAATTCGAACTTGGCGAACGCTTGCAAGTGTTGGTTGTGCATTTCGAAGACTTTGTCGTTGCACAGTTGCACACTTACTTTACAGAGTGCGTCAAACAAAGGTGTTGAAACTTCCAAGTCTACAAATATTTAGTTCAACAGTCTTCAACAAACGACCAAATTGAACACCTGCAATTTTTCAGGAAGCTGTTGCACCCTGAGTTGCACGCACACTTGCAAGTATTTACCGGTTGTACCAGGTGGCTGTGGCTCTCACGCCGCGCGCACTTTCGTAGTAATGCTGCACCGCAAGCACGAACGCGTGTGTGTTGCCTACTCGCACGGGTCCATAAGGAGCCGTGAGAGCGAGGATAGGCAGGCAAACCCGCCCGCGCCCATGCACGCGGTACAGTATAACTACGAAAGTGCGCGGCGCGTCAGCGAAACAAAGGTCAAGCAGCAGGTCGCAAGACGAGCGAAGGCACTCGCAGCAGCAAGGGCGCAAGACGCCGTACTTACCTAATCATCGAGTAGGTAATCCAAGCGAGACACCTCCTCTTGCGGCCACAAAGTTGGTGTGTTAATCCTGGGTGTGTCGCCGAATCCTTCGAGCTTCCATTAATCACACTTCACTTCAGTCACTGCGGTGTCACCGCCTGTCCGGTCACCGCGCTCGCGACCCGCCCATTAGCACAAAAACACAAACACCGCACTGGTTCACTCGCACGCGCACGCGACAGGCCGTGACGGAGCGGACAAATTGCTGGGCGACCCGGGCGCGTCGAATGAGACGACTAACTGGCTGTCGATGGGGGATGAGGGGGGGGCCCAAACTCAGATGGGGCGCTAATTAGCAAAAAAAGCTAAAACCTCTTCTTCGGCGCTGTGGAGGGGGAAAAGAGGGTGTGGTTTGGGGGATTGAGTGGGAGGAGTTTACACATGTCTTGGAATGGGCGAGGGGTAAGCGGGGCGGGGACGAGGGAAGGG